TGTATGCTTGTAATATATGCACATATTACAGAATATACATCAACATCATGGACACTACACCTCTATATAGTGTCACATGGTGTCATAGCCCTACCTCGCTTTTCAAATTTCCGTGGCAAGGCAAGTCACCCATCCCCCATCGCTCAATTCCTGGCACAAAATCTACTCCAGCTGCTTCTTTCATCCGTTCTCTCTTTCACTCGTCATCTGTTCGTTGGCGTATAAAGCCTGCTGTCTTGTCCCTCTGACGGTCGGCGTGACTTGTTTTCCTCAATAGCCAACTGGTGTTGGCCGTAGGGGACCTGCGGCTTAATGGAGCCTGCAGACAGTTGTCTGCATGCCAGCAGTTTCATCTGGGAATTCACTTAGTACGCATTTCGGCCAATAGACCAGTAAACAGGGCCCAACGAATACTCCTCCGTCGTATACTGGGCCCTGTTCCGATACATATGGATTTCTTTCGAAAAACAATTCTCCGGGATATCCAGGGGCATCCGCTTGATTTTATGAGCTGAAATTCCACCGGTATGCTCACTACTTACAGGGTAAACTATCTACTATGTTGCTAATTGTAGAAAACTCGCCTTTCCCTCATTTGAGGAAAAAATATTGCCTTTATTATTTTTTCGTTTTCCCACTCTGGACGATTTTTGCCCCACTTGCACAAAACTTTCTAGTCGCGTCACAGATAGCGCTAGCGAGCCGCACAACAAATGATTTGCCACAAGCAGTGTGTGACTGGACAGGGAACCAGCCAAGGGCGTTGCGTATTAGGTGCGACACAAAACAGCTGTTATTTTTGCACGAGTGCTTAGATCGACAGGTACTCTCGCAATTCTGAAAGAAATTCGTAAGTGCTGAAGTCTGGGTGCAAACTAGACAGGCGCTCGAACAGGCTTCCATTACGTAATCACACAAAGACGTCTGTGTAATGTACAAGTCCAGCCAAAGTTCGTCCGAAGTGGGAAAACGACAAAAAAGGTAACATTTTCCCCTCCAATTAGCAACCTAACGGATAGTTAACCCCGTAAGTAGTGAACATACCAGTGCAATTTCATCTCATAAAATCAAGCGGATGCCTCCGGATATCCCGGAGAATTTTTCGAAAGAAATCGCTATATGTCGGGACAGGGCCCAGTATACGACGGAGGAGTATTTATCGGGCCATGTTTACGGGTCTATCGGCCTAATAAGATTGCAGATTGCTTAGAAGCCTACTTACAGGAGATGGGCTTTCAGATCTCACCGTTGTTTGGGGCATGAATTAAAAGAGTCATTTTAGCCTCTGAGCTAAGCCATGCCTATTTAAATTTTAAACAGTTGCCAAGTATGTGCCTTTATCAAAAGAATCGTCATAAAGAGGAGGACACATTAGTGCCTTTTCCTTTTTATAAGGTCATTTGGGGTTTGCCAGAACGCAGTTCAGGCGGTATAATGCAGCGACGTACTTCCAGTGTTTCATTGACAGAAATTGTGAACAGCGTACAGAAAAGGAACGTTGAAGACGCTTGGTGGCAGCAAACAGCTGGCCCTTTTCAAAAGCTGTGCTGCATTGAGCGTGCGCACATCAGTCTCAAAATGACGCAAACTTTCGGCGGATGAGATTTGATCGTATGTGGTAGCACCAGGGTGAATGTTTCTTTTAGATGTGCATAATGTTCTCTTAAACACTTAAATGAGTCAAAAGCAACCGACAATGTTAAGGCCCGTGCGCCAGAAGGAGTGGAACTTAAGGGTTTATTTATTGGCTTGTTCGTTACATTATGAATCTGGATATCGATCAGTGATTCCAACACTGTTTTGCTATATCCAATAATAGATTCTGATGTCAGTGAACCAGCGACGGATTACCGATTGAGATCCGGATTGGAGTAAAATCAACACGTCCTATGTTGCTGCGTGATCATGCCAGTCACGCCAATTCCAAGTAAATGAGGAACGTTTGGGTGTCGCTTTGAACTAACTCCAGTCATGTGATTCTTCTGTGCAAGCTCGTTATGGTTGATTGGCGGGTCGAAAATACCTGGTAAATGTACAATGGCGCCCCCAGACTGTCAAATCAAATTGCACGCTCGAATGGATAGAGAGTTATTAACATATTTAAAAAAGCCGTTTGTCATTATATTGGCTGAAGGTGTTTGTCTGTATCACAGCCAAAGAGGCTCACGCAATAAAAACTTTATATCACCGAAGCTACCGCGTACAGCATTAAGGATAATTCCGCGTTATTCTACACGCTAAATATCCCGCCATGGGAGTAACTTACACTATCTCTGTGATTCTTGTCGGTGTTTTGGTGGGGCTTGAAATTCTTGAGGCCAGCTTGATGTTATCCGGGCCGGCCTCACGGACGAAATCTCGCTCTTTCGACGTCCTGAGCACCGGTTCGCTTAAGCACGGAGTTATCGCCTTGTCAGAGCGGGGATCCAAGCAACGGTGCGCGGCCGCTTGCGCGGCAGTGGCCGGTTGTGCACAATTCTGCTACGCTTCGACGACCAGACGTTGCGTGCTTGAAGACGCTAGCGTGGCATCTGCGTCCAGAAATCCGAAGGACACTACGTGTTACTTAAAGAATTCGGGTGAGTTTCTACTTAACCGGAGTGTGATCATGTGACTATACCAAACAAATGAAGAAAAAATATCTTAAAATTAATGTTGCACCTCATCCTATACACACAGAAACTAAATTTTCAATACTGACATAGACGCACAACAGTCTTCCTTTGGAAGCAGTATTTAGCTTTGTCGAAATGCTCCTAAGAATCGAATATGGCTGAACGCTTGGTCAGGAAGATTTCGACCTGAGAATGGACTTAAAAACGAACGAATTCTTTGACTTTTCTAGTGAAATAGTATAATAATGAATGAAGTTCACAAAGAGTTTCATCTGCACATTGCAGTACTGAACATAAAAAGGATGTTAAGATTGACTTATCAAGAGGTTGGATTACAGTCATATCATAACAAAAAACATCATTAGCACTGGTCAACTTTCAATTGTGTTCTGAATTGCGGTTTTTCTTTCCAAAAAAAGAGAATTACTGTTTCATTCTAGCTCAAACGGAACGAAGTTACCATCCGCCAAATCAATTTCTGTTCCATTACCGTATACCCTGCAAAAGCATTTGTTTAAACAAAGGCTAAAGTAGCCACAAATTGTCTCAGATCACACCACAAAGTATTTCCGGGGCCTTCCCAATAGTCTACATCGTGTTTTGGCTTCTCGCTTCGCACTCGCATTTGTTCTGATCAGGGCTACGCCCCCATCCCCAAATTTTCAAAACGGGTTGACACCCTTGGACCCAACAGAGCGTTTTGATGGAGGTCTTGGGTGGATGTCTTGCGAACTCATCTTGCAACAACTTGTACGTTTCGTTCAGAATGCGCCGTAGCCCAGTAAAATGTCCGCATATATATTTGCACATACAAATTATACCAGCACATTATAAATGCCTAAACATACATAATTATTGTAGTATGTACTGGCTAAATGCAAGGAGTATGATAAGAGTGGTTACAAAACCACTCTAGAAGAGCACAAAAGCCACTCTAATTGAGCGAAAACCACCAGTGTTGTAGTTGAGACCACTTAAGACCTTCACAAGACCGCACAAGACTAGCACAAGACCAACACAAGACCTCTAGTCTGAATTCAAGCCACAAGCTATTTAAATGAACTGCAACAAAAGCATTCCTTTGTCATTGTTCACACTGTTGCTTGTGACAGGTCTTGTGCATGGTCTTGTGATGGTCTCGACTCCAACACTGAAAACCACTCCAAAAGAGTTCAATTTCCATTCTGCACAGAGAGCCGCATACTCGGGGAAAAGGGTTTTCTTTTAAATGATTCATTTTTAGAGTGATTGCCACTCTTTTAGAGTGGTTTTGCACTTTTCTCGAGTGGATTTAGGACGGATCACTCTTTACAGTGTAAGTTTTGCACTTTTTGCATTTAGATAGTATACGTGCCTTATTGTATTGACCTTTACGGTTCTTATTGTATGGAAAATGTGATTGAGCTTGTGGTACGTGTGAGATTAAAACACATGTTAGTTTTTTCATTTGCTGTGGTCTTAGGCGTTCATTGTTAAATAGGATTTTCTAAACTTGAATCATTTCAAAATGGCTTGTAGCAGAGACAAAAGCTACACATGGAAATGTATTCATGGAAGCAAGGTCAATCGTAAGTCTATTCAAGGGGAGCTGGCATTGTCCCAGGGGTGAATTTTCAAGGGGTTTAGTGTGTCTCGTTCTAATGTTGCTAGGCTCCCCGAGCAGGACCAAGAGGGGGCGCAATTTTCTCGCAACGGAGGCTCCTTTTGTCAAAACGAGTATTAAATGCACGCGTTACGCTCACATCGCTACCAAAAAAAGGAACTCTCCTAACCAACCGGGCTTTGTTCAACTTAGGTTCTGCTTAAGGCGGGAAGTGCTGTCGTTTATTTCCTCACATTTTCACAGACATCGATAGTGACTACTCGTCTATTCAAAATGTCAGGCCAGAAGACACTCCTCCCGCCGGTGTTAATGGTCTCGTAAATGTAATGGAATGACAGTGATCTGTCACTCTCGCAATTAGTCTTCGAAAAAGGTCAATTTGCAAAAAAGCTGTGCACGGTGAAGCGGCGTTATCGAAGCGTGTCTACCAAACAAACCTGACGTATATGTAGACGTCTAAGACTTGGGGATCAAATCGGTTTTTATCAGAGGGCTTTCCGTCAAAATTTGATATTCTCCCTGCCCAACAGTCAGTGCATTCTAAGTTATACTGGTTACCCTTAACCCTAAAAGAGCCTGGACCATATTCTGGCCCTTATCACAACCGGGTGGAGTGCCCTCCACCGGACCCCACCCCACCCCAAACTCGACTGTGCCGCACTTAGTCATTTTTTTCTTTTCTTTTCCTGTTTAACCAAACATGAATGCAACACCCGATCCGACTACCCACGGCTACTTATAAGTGAGGCTTGCAGCAAAATTTCCTGCAAGAACTGAGATGCTAATTATATTTTCGTATGATGCAATACAGTAGGCAAACTTACAAGTGAGGCTAGTCAGCGTCAAAAAAATTTGCAAGAAGAAGGCTCGAACAAGCCTCACTTATAAGTTTGCCCACTGTATTGCATCATACGATAATATATTAGCGCCATAGTTAGAGCATGGCTATTTTGCTACACAGGCCTCACTTATAAGTAGCGGTGGGTTGTCGGATTGGGTGAAAGTGAAGACATTCCTTATCATTACCACTGTGAAGTTTGAGCTCAATCAAACATGTATATATAATTTTGTTGGTACAGTAATTTGAATTTCCACGCCCCATGCGTGCCAGCCCGCGTGCATTGAGCATGGCATCGGAAACATAATGGGGAGCCTGACTTGCCTCGGAAAATGCACGGTGCGCAAGAATGGTATGCTTGGTTTTTGGAAAATTGATACCAAAACGACCGCAAAGGTATTCTCTGAAAACTCAGAGGGGGGTCATTTTTTGACAAAAATGCAAGGTGGAGATTTTGAAATGAATTCATGCTCTTTTAAGGGTTTCGGGTTTACCTTAAAATATTCAGGGATTTTGAATTATCTCACAGCTGATCGGGGGGGTGGCCAATTCCGTCCCTCCCCCATAACTCTCTGTTCCGTGCACAATTCATGTTTTTTAAACTTGGCGAATATGTGGGGAAAAAACCTTTTCAATGTAAACACGACATTTAGACTTTTAACTTGCATACGGTTTCGCTGTTGCAGTCATTTGAAGTTGAAGGCCGACGCGTGCCTGCCCGCGTGCATGGACGAGAATGGACCATTAAGTGCAAACATCACTCACATCACAGAATAGAAAACAAAAAATGGCGTCCCGATCTCGAAATCAGAAAAGTTCCCTCTAACATGCTTTTGAGATAGATAGATTACTCTTACAACAAATCATTTAGCCAATTGCTCGGCATTCAAAATGTTCAACCCGATGTTGGCTGATGTTTTAGTTGGAAAACGTACGGTTAAACGTGGAGCTTGTTGAAGGTCATTTGCATAACTTCCGCCAATTAACCACATGACATCTTCAGTGTTTTCGCAAAGTGACAATAACCTGGAAAATCGATAATTTTTCGACCTAGCATTTTACTTCCTTTGATCTAATGAAAAAAAATAGCAGAGTTTCAAAGCATTCTACACTGTAAAAAGTCGTGTGTTAAAATCAACACTTTTGGGTGTTATCAGATGACTACACCATAGGGTGTTACTTTAACATTGATGATGTCACTTTGCATACCTATAAGTGTTATAGTTCACTGGAGGGTGTTACAAGTAACACCAAATACACAAATAACACCAAAATTTTAACACCAGTGAAAAGTGTTGGTGTAGTCTTCTGATAACACTGCGGGTGTTAAATTTAACAGCCCAGTTGTTGCAGTGTAATGTTAATTATTTCCCTAGTAACTGTAAACAAACAACTTACAAAAAGCTTGGTCCGTGCCTTTCTCTGTTCCACGAAGTGACATGCAATAACATCGTTGGCACGGCAAAAATTAAGACGATATCGATGATGTGGCATTTTTGTTAAAATAAACTCTCAACACTTCTAGTTTTATTTCCATCATCTTTTCGTCAATCACAGATTGCATGAGCACTTTCACGAGCGGCAGTTATTTCAAACAGGTCTTCGACCTTCCTCCTTTTGGCGGGAAATTTGTGTTGGATTTCTCTGCCAAGGTGATGCAAGACGCCATAGTCAGTTTATCTACCAACAACACGAAGGAGGGCATCAAGTATGAACTGGGTGAGAGCGGCCATATTGCCAATGTCGCGCCAGTTATGGCCACATTCTATCAGTGACAATTTTGTCGACCAGATGCCGACTTTGCATGGTACTTGGGATATATTTCCTGCTCATGTCACCAGTCACAGTAGACCAATGGTCGACAGATGGTCACTGATCAAACCTGGCTTTCCTTTCATCTACAGCGGGAAAATCTTTACGTGTTGTTTCATTGCCAAATTGCACTCGGTTTGAAACGACGCACAAACATTAATTTGCTTTAATTAAGAAAATTTCGCAGCGTTGGGACATCGTTTTATACCCATTTTTCCCTGACGCGCAGGTCTGTGTCGAGGCGCGCGCTGACCAGAAACCTGGAGACTTTTTGGCTTAATCGACTGGAATCCTGCTATACTGCGTAATTTTAACGTGTTTTTATGGGGTACAGTTGAGTAATATGCACAGTATAGGAGTCCCCCTAGATCCAGCAATTCAGGTGGTCTTACGTCCTGTGTACATGCGCAAGCTGAAAATATTTTCAAACAGTAAAACGTGTGGGCACCAGTCTATTTCAGTGCAAGAAGCAGCAGGCGTTGCCTGCGCATTCGGGAGCGATGGACATCACGCCTTAGACGTATCTCCAGAAAAAAAGTGAAAAACAAAAAGCTGCGCCACTTTGGAGACAGCTCCTGACCAAAAACCGAAGACTTTTTTTCAGCCTTAGTTTTGCTTATTATAGTTCTTTCCACATTACCTACTCACAAAATTACAAACTTTGCTAATATACATCTCCTCGGCGCAGATCCATCTTTGAAATAATTGTTCGGGTACCCGCTGCTACATCCGATAAAGACGTCTGCACTACTAAGCCAGAGGTCGTGGGTTCGAGTCCCACCCGAGTTCGCTTGTGGTGTTTTCACAAGCCTTAGGGGGCAAACACCGAGTATACGGTGTTAAATATACGTCGGGTAGGGCAAATCCAAAATTAATTAATTTGCTGTTGGAAGCGTAAATCCGTAAAATTCCCTAGCTGATATACTGCAAAATTGCGGTGTTAATCTAACACACTGGGTGTTAGAGGACTTCACGTGACTGGGTGTAGTTTTCTGCAAAGGGTGTTATGTTAGCAACAATTTTACAACGTAGTTTTTTGCAGAGTAGAAATATTTAAACTTCAGGCTCATTAGTGAGACTCAATAATGGCTACCTCCGTAGACGCATGTGCGATAAAGGGAACAATTATGGCGGCTCAACTGAAATACAGAAAAAAAACTACGAGTGTTAAAACGGATAGCCTACTTGATATCGAAATGGCTTGTACGTTATGGCTAATTGTAAAACTACCGTGATGACGTCCCATCATATCACACTTGCATTAATGTTGCAATAAAAAGTGTTTGGACACACATGCATGGCTAGGCTTTCACTAAAGTGTTTCCCGCAACGCAAAGCAAAGGCACGAAGTTGTCCGTTCGCTTGATTTTGTGGAGCTCGAACATGGCAGGCTAGGAATTATAGGCCGACTGCCTAACACCGTTTACAGTTTCTGGTTTTCAATGCTCTGCAGTTCTAGGGCACAATGGCAACTCCAAAACCACCATCCGCAGAACCTGGCAAGGCGCCAACCTGCACATCGTGCTGGCAACCAAGGGAGGTGTGGTCAGCGCCCTGGAGATGAGACGCTTCTGGCTCCGCTACGATCACGGCACCTTCGCTCTGGGGAAGCACAGGGAGCCGGCGTACTTCGAATGGACCGATCCATTACCCCAGACCACCCCTGTCCGGTTCATCGGCTTGGGCGGCTGGGCTGATACCGTTGAGTGGATTGTCTACGGTATTTGTCCATAAAGCCTGATTAAACGCAGAATTTAAAACAGGGCGGGTGAGCTATGGAATTGTGACCCCCACAGCATCTAGCCAGTACGTTTGTCTCATGGTTTGCCAGCTTACTGTCCCAGTTTGCAGTTTTTGCCCGAAGTCCAAATTGCATACAACACCGACTACCGGTATTGGTGTTAACAGTCTTACTTTATGTCTGTTAGTTTATGTATAAGTAAGTACGGTAAACGCATCACCATAACCTCTAGTTTAAAGATTTGAAAGTACATGTAATTATGCGTGACTAACACACCAAGGACTTGCGGCAGTACCAAGAGATACTTTCCTTTTAAGAGTATAGGCCTATTCTAATTAAAAATAACCAAAACAAAAAATTTGCTTATCTCCATTCACGTCCTCAACTGAACTCTGTGAAAACAAACCTACAAAACTGTTATTTAGCGTTTGGGGGTTTTAATGAAAAGGGGGAACGGGCATGTCATTTAAAACTGTTTTTATTTCCAAAGTGACGGCCGTTGTGGTTACAAAACACTTTAAATTATTGGTGTAACAAATATTAAAAGACAGCACAAGGAAAGCAATGTTGGACAACTGAACAAACATGTTCTATACACGGACACCACTTGACATTCAGTACATAAACCCTATAAAACTGGTCTGAAAAGGGTAACCATTAGGTATAAGCACTTCGTGAGTATCTCGACATTTTCCCTGCAAAATTCGACTTTTTACAGCGTGCTATTGGCCAAGATACATGTACCACTGGAGGGCAAAATTTACGATGTCCGTAAAATGGAACGTCTCGAAGTATTGTTTTTGTGTGTGGCACACCTGGCATGGTTTCAAGAGAACTGGTAGACAGTGGTTTATCTCGAGCGAATGCGCAATGTACATACAGCCCGCGGACGGTGCCATACGTTAGCAGTATTGAAGCCAACACAATCGATGAATAGATCGATTGCACACGCTTGTCACGTGACCTGGAGTGTGTATCAAACATCGACACAGCGTTCTCACACAGCAAAGTCTGTCATATGGAGTGTCATTTATCAAAAACAAGCTGACGGTTGTAAAGTACCATACTGATCTGCTGTGGTACTGAGCACTACACCCAAACTCGGCATGTTTAAAGGTTAAAAGAAACAGAAAACATTTAGTTCACGTGCAGTATTTCAAAAACATCATACTTAAATTCAATGCTCATCCACAAAAAATTTTGGTTGGTTGGATGACGTCATCGGCAGAACGCCTACATGTACAATGTACATGCACGCTTGCAACAGGCCACGTGGTGTTCGATGTAGCTTGGCCCACTGTCTTGGTTTAAGGTACAAGAGGCAGTCCCAGCTAGCACAGTACTGCCGAATGATACCCACTCTATGTCACGTGACTGACTTCACTGGCGAAAAGGGTCTACTGTATGGTGTGGGGAGTGACCGATGGGGTCTCAAGTTAAAGGCTCCGACTCGCTAAGGTTACCAGTTTTGCCGACAGAGCGCGGGCTACTCCATCAATCGTTCTCTCCCAAAGAAATAAAGCAATCGACGTAACACAACCCATGCTAGAACTACATGTATACAAAGCGATGTCTCATTATTGTAAATTTATGAGGTCAAACTATACGTTTAATACATGTACATAAATTAATCACCAATAAGGCTACTTAACAATTTCAACTGGCTCTAGAAGAGTTGGACACTGGGAAACTTCTATACGCATCACGGCATTGATTACCTAGGCGTTTAAATGATAAAAGCCCAAGATAAATAACCATGCCTTCCCATTCGAGTCACACCACTCATATTTGGCGGAGGGATACATATTGGGTTGGATCCAGTGTGGTAATTTAAATCTATAAAAAATGGGTGGACACATACAGCAGGAAAACGCGTCTCTAAACCAACAACTTTCACGTCATAATATGTATCCAAACAGTCATAAAAGTGGGCGGGAGAAACCAAAGCTCCTCCTCTTAAATCTACCCCCTGGAAACCACAAATAATAAATGGTACGAGTAAAATGCATTAAATTCCTGGTATAAAGCAAAGGAGATAAACCATTAATTTTCGATTTCCATCTTTCCCAAAATACATTTAAAAGAGAAATGAGAACCTCACAAAAATTACATCTCGCTAGCCACTCCATAAAGGCATTAACATTATTTTCAAGGCTTCTGATTTCTTTTCATTTGTTTTTCTGTGGTGTTGATGGCAATCTCTTTAGCTACTGGGGTTTACCAGACACATTAAAATGAAAAGAAGAGCACGATACTCATCTTTGTGACGAGGTGTCAAGGCAATTGTCGACTTAGTCGGGTATTTATTTTGGCTCCTGCAGGTACAGTTGGTGGGCACCCGCATTCACTCTTAGAAGCCAAGACACTAATTTGGATCTCAATAAATGCAGCACATGCTAGAAAGTGGTGTCAAAATGGTCTTTAATTGAAATTTTAGGCTTCCTGTCTTATAATTCCAATCAAATTGTCATGTGTTAACTGAATGTCAGACTGGCCATCTCTCAAGTATTGCTCACATCAGTCCAAGCACATTTGAACAAGTACAACGCAAGGATTTTCAATGATAATGTTAACCCTAACAGTCTTCAGTCCTCCAACAGGTGAAGGATTGAGGACTGTTAGGATTAAATATCAGTGTTTTTGAGCAATAATTCTTAATGAGTGGCTAGATTAGGAAAAATCAACGTATTCTGAACAATAAAATTATCACATTGACGAAGTGGGCAAGAAAGTACTATAAAATGAATCTCAATTAGTCATGTGGGGGAAAAAACCCGCAAATTTGGTCAAGAGGCCTCAATGGGAGACCTTGAGATGCTTGGTAGCAACAAACATCCTGGTCCTTTTTACCAAATCCGAACACGCTCATGTTGTTCTGGGCACGCGTGGATAGTTCTGAGCATGTGCAATACCTTAAAAAGGACTGGTATGTCTCCTACCACCTGTGCCAAGTTTCCCATTGTAACACCGACAGGTTTTATGTTTTTGGTTGGGGACATTCCTCATTCTGAAATCGTGCAAAATCCTCTACTGAGCAGGAAACCAATTCGCACATTCGTTCTACTTCAACTTTCAAGAGGTAAGAAGCCCCAAGTAAAGTAACAGTGGCTGGGCTCTGCCTTCCCAGATCTAACAAAACCCAATGAAGCTTCCATGGTGAATTTCATAGGATGTGGGTGAGTCAGGATTCCGGCAAACATTTCTAGCAGAAAACAATAAAATTTCTAATTTGTAGATCCAATCTCTATCATCCAGTCACCACTGCAGCATGGCTTCTTTCAATATGTTGTTGACCCATGATTCCACTGTTTACTGGTTTGTTCAGGTATTTTAGCAGGACGTATCGCGCTCCTCTAGACAATGGGGTCAACGTTTCCATGGGCACATCAATGAAAAATGAGTGGCAAATATGTACAAGTGTTCAAAGGCTACGGTGATGTCTTGAGTTCATTGACGAGCCTGGAAAACATATAAAAAAAAGAGAAGGAATTTGGCTGTAAGGTTGCGTTTTCAAACGACTGCTTCCTCGCCACAAATCCACTGAGTCAGGAATGTTGTTGGGAAGGGGATGGTCAGAGTTTGCGCCCCTCATGAATGGATCAAAAGTTCAAATAAACATCCTGGCCATGTTTTGTCCATGGGCAAGCCACTTTACATCAATTTCCAGTCACCAGTGCAAGGATATTAGTGAGATTAGCTAACTTGCAAATAAGTGATTTAGCAGACTGATCTTAAAACACTGGATCTTTACGAGGTGAAACTTTGAGCAAACTCGTGCAAGTAAAAAAAACCCCAGCCATCATTTTGTTTGTTTTACCATTGCATTGCTTCCTCCAGCCCATCTCCCTTGAGGGCGGACGTCTTAAAGATTTGGTACTTGCGATTCCTGAGTGCCGCCAGGCCCAGTTCGCTGGCCACCTGCGTGTCTGTGAGGGCGCCCTCTATGTCCTGCTTGTTGGCCATGACAAGCAGCAAGGCATTCTTGAGTTCTTCTTCCTATTCAGGTCAAGGGTCGCAATGAATATTCATGAGTATCAAAGGACTTTAAGCGCAGGTTTTGCCCTGCCCTTACACTTACGTATATTAATTAACACTGTATGCTCAGTGCTAGTCAGAAGGACTGTACTGTCGGTAACATTTGAAATACAAAGCACTCCTCGGGCAATTGCAACGCATCCCAGATTAATTACAAGACTGACAATCACGAGCAACGACAAGCCCTTTCTTCAATTCGCGAGGTGAAGCACCTTACTAGCGATGACAAAGCAAAACTAATTACTTACTTCTAACATGGCAACCAGTTCCGACTTGGAGATGCCCATTCTGTCTTTGTCAGAGCTATCTACCACATAAATGATGGCGTCTGTGTTTGAGTAGTAACATCTCCAATATGGTCTGTTCACGGATAAACGTATGCACTGGAATTTAATAGGTTGAAAACTTAGGAAAATATGAGTCAAAAGTTTAAACTCTAAGGAGGCACCAGACTGTTTCTCTAAGTCCCAGTGGTGAAGTGAAGAAAACTGGCTTCGTTTTTGCCCCAGAGGCATTTTTGCAACCTTGATCCCCAAATTCACCATTAATTCTAAAAAGAGTTCCTCGGAGGAGTGACCGCTGCCTAAATCCTTCAAATTTGTGCATACCCTGTGGAACAGAAGCACTGGCCTGCAAGATGGCAGCCTTGCAAAGCCTCTATACAAGTCCCCAAGTGGCTCTTTAATCCATCAGCTGCCCGTGCATGCAGACAACTACATGTAGATAACACCGACAAAATGGTCCAGACAGGAACCACCATACCTGATAGACGTTTGGCCTCCGAGGTCCCACACTTGAAATTTCAAGTTGCCGTACTTTACAGTCTCTACATTGAAACCGATCGCTGCACAACAAGAACACAAAAAAAAATCTCAACATTAGATGCAGAAGATGTGGACCATGTCGACCAAACTACAAGACCAACAAGTACCCTTTGATCTCCTCACACCTTGCCTAGCTAAGAAATTCAGTGTCAGTTTAAAGGGCATTGAATGACCAGAAAAGGGTGCTTTTTGACTACACTGCCTGATGTATAAAAACTGCTCTTTTCAGAACTGCAAATTAAAAAATACTCAATTTTCAAAAATAGCATCAAGATTAAATGTCCGCTGTGACAAACACAAAATAGTCGAGCAATGTAAATACATGGCAGAGACAAAACGGTGGCTTGTCATTGTTAAGTTAAATCATAAAAGAGAATCGATACACACAACATCATGCGTTATTCTCTATCCGACTCGGTGGGTGTCAAGTTGGGAGAAAAATCCAACATTGAGGTCAAGGGCAACACAACAGCAGACGTACATGTACTCGCACGCGTCGACCTAATGGAACATTTTGGCATACGAGTTGATCAGCATACAAGTTGGTCAACGTATCAATTGATCGGAGTCCCAGTTGATCGCTATACACATCGGTGCATAGAAGCTGGCAGGCATGCGACATGACCAGCATTAGCCTCAGACATGTGACAAGGGAAGGGAAGATACTGCAGTCATCAGTGAAACCCTCGTTCCTAGATTTGGTATACTCACTTGGTATCGTCGTTACAACTTCCCCGACGTGAAGGCGGTAGAGTATTGTGGTTTTGCCAGCACCATCTAGCCCAAGGATCAGAATTCTCATTTCTTTGGAGCCAAAGAGGCTGGAAAATATGCTACTAAAGAAACCCCCTACAAAAGCACAAAGAGAACAGCATATCACCCCTGAATACAATTGATTGGCCATCCTGTTTTTACTGGCCTAACACAAACAAGATAGTCAGCATACTAGGCCTAATTAGCATGTAGGCTAGTAGTAGTAGTAACATACACATTTTTGGTCATGTATTTTACCAATTTAAAAAAAAAAATGAAATAAAAATTAGGCCCTACTTATTGTAGGTTTAGGCTATTGAAAATGGAGATAGATTGCAAATCTCTCTGATCATGTTGTGAGCCTTTTGCGCTGGATCAACCCTGTGGATATTTCCAGCAATCACAGTCACCAGACATGCCTGACTGCAGACATCAGAACTGTACATGTACACCACAGCCATGGCAACCCATGTGTCCTGTATTTTTATTCATGTATATACATATAGGCCTATACTATAGTATACACAACCTATGGAGGCCGTAAAAATGTAGCCACCACAGCTGCAGAGGTGCAATGTGACCATCTCGCCAAATAAATGTTAGCTGGCCTATATCCCTTCCTCAATGATTTAGGCTACATGAACGTGATGAATGACCTACACATGACTAAACCATGGAGGGCTAAAACACACCAGGCCCCCAAGCCCAAAACGAGTAGGCCTAGGCCCCTTAAGGCTTAAATGATCATGATAAAAATCTAATGTTCAGGGATGTCAGGCACTCACCCATTTTTAATCAAATCCAGAAGAATTTCAAGCTGCAATGTAATAATAAATATTCAGTAACTTAAACCAAAGTCTCGTTAACAACCAATTTCCTAATCGTAGCTCATCATTCACAGCACTATGGGGAACAGAGTACGAAATCACTTAGGCCTAAGCCCAAAAATCTCAAGTCTGCTGTATATTGCGCGTGCTGTATATGCCGAGCATTTGTACACGTACAACGTAATGTACAACGTGTCAGTAGTGTAGTACAGTGAGCGTGACTGTACAAATGACGTCATGCTGGAAATACATGTAGCAAACGTGTAGTTCCTGTTTTCCCAATTTAAAATGTATCTCTCAGAAAACTAATATAACGACTCAGTAATGAATATGTCTTTTAAATGTACCTGTCTTGCTTTAGCAGAGTCTTTTGCCAAGTTAGTTCTTGGAGACCGCTTTTGCCATGGTTACAACAAGGATGAGGATGAAGAAAGTTGTCATCAAATACTCGGTCTAAAAATATCGTGAACATAAATATTTTAAGTCTTTTTATGGATTTCATAAGCTTATCCGTGTTAAAAGAGGTTTTTTTTTTGAAAGATTAATGATGTAAGAAGCTAATCTCATGACGACCACCAACCTTTGTATCGATTCAAATCAATTATTGTGGTTTCAAAATGATATTTAACACAATAATATTAACTAACTGGTGTGGCATCGGGCTTTGTATAAGGAAAATTAAGCGTCTGACTTGGTGGGGCACTGACTACATCTATGACAATTTCGTACACAGGGCCACGAGTCCATCTATTCATATGTGTCTTGCTTTAAATCACAAACACGAAAGACTTTGAGAACGAAGTTGTATCTTTGGGAGTGCAGAGCACGTTGTGGGGTTTGTAGAAAATTGCGGCGGGAAAAGTAATAATTTCACTTTAGTTTCAGCGTATTAAGGGTCAAAATGTCTGCCCAACTCTTCGTTGGAAGATTGAGCAAACAGACACGGCAAAGGGATGTTGAGGAGGTTTTCAGAAGGTACGGCCCCATGCTGAGATGTGAACTGAAATACGGTAAGCATGGTAAGCAAGTTTCCGTGTAGCTGAGGCTGTGTCATGCGTCATTGCGTGTTCACTGTTAGGCCCTCCAATAATATTGACGTTACATGTACGTGCTGGTAACCTTATGTTTGTACGCCTGGGCGTGCTTGTCGCCATCTTTGTGATGATTAGAATGCCACAACCCTCTGGCCCTATGAGCCCCATATTGGTGACCTGCTCTGACCTGTGCCTCATTTTTTTTCTTCACAAAAAATGACAAAACTCCCTATGGCTACTCCTTCAGTAGCATGAATATCATGCCTTAAGTTAGACTTAGCCCCACTTCTGTGGCACGGATCCTTGTACTCATTTTAATTCAAAGATGGTATGAGACTGAGTGCGACCTTGAGATTGAATGGGTAAAGGCAAAAAGACTGGAAAATACCAATCAAATTTTCCTGTGACAGCAAACTTGAGTAGCCTAAACTTAAGCTCTTAAAAGTGGTAGAACAAGGATTTCAGAGCATAAGANAGGAGTTTCTTTTTTTCAATTACATCTATAATTATAATGATACACAGTGCCAGTCCATTGAAACGTACATGTATGTAAGTGTTCCTTGGCGCTTAACACTGGAAAAATTAAAAATTACAGCAATTGTAAGGAAATTAACAAAAAGCAATAGTTAGTGAAAGAAAACCAATTTAAAAACCTACACGATATTATATTAAATTTAGAAATTAGTCCTTAAAATTGAATTACACCGTAGTTCCATGGACACCATGTTAAGAGCCTCTCTTTGCGTCAGTTGGTAAGCAGCACAAAAATGCACAGCTGTGTCGTATTGAGCACTGCACCAACAGTCCCTCACAGGAATGTCAGATTGCACCTTTGTGCTGTCCAACAACTGTGCCTCACTGTTTCATATGCATAATTGTGCAGTGAACCAACTTGCATTCAACCTAATATGTGTTCATATACATGTATGCATTGTACTGTATGTGTCCTTCAAAAAGGATTCCTTTATTTTTCACAGTGTGGTTCCAATTATGTAGTAAAATAAAACCCACTGACTGATGGTTAAGTTGATTAAGTGAGTGGCCAAATAGTTGTTGGGGGACTAAATATGGTCTTTCCTGTGCTTTTTTTTTCGGGCATGGATCCCACCCATGGCTGATGAATCTACATTTCATAGGAACTGGAATGGGTAAGCAGATGTCTTTTAATTAAGGAATAGTCACTTGAATTCGTTTCTGATTTGGTTTTTGAATTCTGTAGCAGATTTGCAGAACAGACAAGTTATGATGATGCTCTCCCTTTCAGTGACAAACGTGTAGCTTAACTCTAACTCCCTAGAGTGATTTACCAGGAACCATACCCATTTACACAAAGTCCAACACCCTATGGTAAACGGTGCACAAAAATTGTTGGACTCTGTTTATTTTGGGTATGCCTGAACCCATGTTAAAGCACAAGCAGTTTAGGGGTACAGTACCCAGTGCCACAAATTCACACACTTTGGTGATGTTCAATTCTGTGTGGTTAGGGAAGGTTAGGGTTATTACATGTACATAGTTAGGGCACAGAATGCCTAGGCTGGTATGGGGTTAGAACAGGAAGAAGTACATTTACATAAGACTAAATGACCTTGAGCTGGCAATTTCAATTGATGTGATTGGGGGTGCAAGCAGAGAATTTTTCTTCCGATTTTCTAAATGAATTTCCCCGCCGTGACGTATTAGCCATCCAAAAGCAATAAAAAGTCCCTGAAAAGTCAAAATTAGCAGTGGAAATGTTAAAGATATTCACTTAATAAAGTCTTCATGTTTTTAGACCAGTCTTATTGGGTATATGCACAGGTTGTCAAGCAGTGTCTGTATCGTGGGATTCTTTCCCATTTGTCCAATGAGCATTCCATTTGATATTCATTATCATCTGTTATGGTAAAATTTCTGCAGCCTACGCCTTTATTGACTATGAAGACCGCAGAGATGCCGAGGTAAGCTTCCTAAATACTGTCTTAACCCTAACAGTCCTGAATCCTCCGCTTTCAATATGGTTTTTGGACACACCCAAGGGAGTTGGGGGTCAGTATTCCATTTTGAGGGTGCATTAATTTTTCAGGCGAGCAAAAAAGAAACATATTAACTGTGCCTTAGTTTCGTGAAAAACAAAAATTGGCTTATTGTATTTTCCAATCCAGTGGATTTGTCGTAACTATTTGTATCTTTTTCTATGAGATGATCTGATGGTCATCGTTGTTCTAGAGTTTAAGTCAAGCCTAGGAGACGCCACTCTTGCTGGGCCATCACACTTGCACACAGGCTTTAACTGGAGTGCGCGCGCACATTTTGGCAAGTCGCGACACCCGTTTGCTCTGCGAGAAATACAACTTGCGCATACCGCCTGTATGCAGATAGGATGGCCTCGCAAGAATGGCCTCTAATTCTGATCGAGGGATTAGTCTATGCAGTACCAACCATTTGCATTTGTGTTATGCAGTGCCGTTTTCAAAAACAGACGGGGGTACTAAACAGTCAGTAACCTTTCTCTTTTGGCACGATAGGATTTTTTTTTCTTGGGGGAAATGAGACTTCCAAGTACACTACTCAAAAAAACGATAAGGACCGCTTTTTTCTGCACTTGTAATTCTTTCCCAGGCAATGAATGGGGTCTAGTCCTTTTTTTCATTTTTTGTTTGTCTAGACGGTGTGCTCATTAGAATAAAAAAATCAAAGCATCAAATAAAAAATTTCATATAGAAAAAGTGTATACAAAATAAAAAGTGCTCTTTAACTTTTTTGAGAAAAGTATTAGGAATGATGTTTATGAAGTGAAGTGTCAAAAAGTTACCAAGCTGAGTAGTCACCTTTTTTGGGGGGGGGAGGGAATATGGAGAACTGTTTTTCTAACATCAATAGGCTGAGGTTTGTAAGCAGATGGGACCTTTTATCTCATCCAAACTGCTTTGTATACATAAGAACCTAGCCAATTTTCTTGATTCTGTTACAAGCACAAAGATTACATCTACATGTACATGTATGCCATTGGATGAAACCGTTCAGAGCTGAATTTGTTGGGTTTGGGGAAACCCAGGGATTAGAGGTTAGAGGTCACTGGTGGTGCCTGTACCGTATTTGTACTCAGCGTCCAAATGTTGAATGTTTGTTAGCATTGATGTGATCTGTTTTTCCCAATGATTACAGCGAGACCGAGTACCTTTGCCTACCTTAAAGTCTGTCGGTCACTACCGCAGGAACACTTGGTCAGCCGCACTACCCAAAACCTACCGTACCGTTAAGCCCGCCCATTGGGTTGACGAAGCCACACCCACTACCTGAACCAAAAGACCAAAGTGCCTGCCCTCCCCGAAACCGATCGCGGGAGGGGCGCCGACTTGACCCCAAGTGTCGGTCTCCCGGCACGAGAGCCGCTACCGAGTTAGCCGCTGCCACCTCCAGAGGGCGCTCTACCAAAAGTCGTACATTCTTGCCAATAAAATACCCAAAAGATACCCAAAATCCAAGGCCAGAGACCACTGGTGTGCAAGTGAGAAAATGCAAGCCCAGCGCCAAAGGTTTTTGCTATGACAGACCAACCAAACCCTGCTGTCGACTGACGTCTGTTTTAGATTTACGTAGAGTACGTAAATACCAGAAAGTTCTAACAACTCACAAGTATTGCCAAGGTATCCTCTAATGCGAAAGAAATGAAAGAATAATTAAATTGGATGTACTCTCGTGCCCGTCATTGGTGATTGCTTTCAGCAAGCAGCTTTGGGAAATCAAAACTACCTTTGAATTGAATGTCAAAACACAATGGACATTGCTTACTTGACAATAAGTGTACATTTGCATGTATTGCAACCCTAACCCACCACTTCCTCGTTGCTGGGGCACATCCTCAATCCTCCCAAATCCTCCAATCTTTGTACTTGTGCTCAAAATGAGAGGTACCCAGCTCCTCAGTCCTTTGAGAGCCTCCAGCTATTCCTACTATTATGTTGAGGCAGTGCGAATGGCATTCACGAGCAGTGCGGTTGATTACAGACAGGCTAAATTTATGCAGGACCAAGCATGTACACCACAAGGTCCAACCCACAGCCTTCAGATATGGCATTCTTTGCAGTCAGCCGTACATTTTTGCCATTCATCCGCAATCCTCCAAAATCCTCCAAAACTGCGCAAAGGATTTTGGGGGATTGAGGAGGGTTAGGGTTGTACAATGTAGTGCATGGCGCACCTGTAATGAACATGTGTGTGTTGCATTTACCAGCATTTTTAGAACAGAATTTATATCAGCAAACCTGAAAGAAAACATTTGTTAACGCTAACCCTCCTCAATCCTCCAAAATCCTTCAGGTGGTTTTGGAGGATATTGGAGGATTGAGGGTGAATGGCAAAAGTTCATGGCTGATTGCAAAGGATGCCATCTGTGAAGGTCATGGATTAGACCTTGTGTTGTTTTTGCTCAGCCAAGCACAAATTCAGCCCGTTATTTCTTTTGAATCAACTGCACAGCTCAAGAATGCCCTTCGCACTGCCTCAACATAATGACAGGAATTGCCAGAGGATTTTGGAGGATTGAGGCTGAATGCAATTTTTTCATGTTAAAAATCAGAGGATTTTGGAGGATTGAGGATGGTTCCTGGTGAAAAGGCCTCGGGGGTTAGGGTTAACGTATTAGAATATATCTTGGCAGTAGCTGTTTTGAGCAACCTCCATCATTTTCCACATACTGACAGAATTGTTTGACTTTGTTGTCTAGGAATTTAAAGCATTTCCTATGCAGCATTTTTCCGTTCTGAAAAGCCAGAGCAGACTGTCTTTTAAGTTTATTAAGAAAGAAAAGCATTCAGAACACTTCCACGAACAAAGTTGAAATGGTCCGAAAAATTCTGTCAGAGGTTACAGTCTCAATTTTACGCATATTTTTCAACCCGTCTGAGTTTTCTCTGGGCAAAGAATGAAGTAACCGCTGAAATGCTCTTGAAATCTGAAAACTAATTAATTGTAACTTTTGAGGGAGAGGCATAGATCAGATATGGTTGACAGATTTCACTAGAACAGTTTGGATCAGCTTTCACGGAAAACTCACATTTGTGCATCTCGCCATGTACTCCAGGATGCTTTGAAATTTGAAGACCGCCAGGAAATCTGTGGGCAGAGCATCGTCGTAGAGTGGGCCCGCGGACCGAAACGTGGTGTGGTGAGTTCAACTTCCCTGATCATCAGTAGGTTTTCTTACAGGTGACTGATGGCGGGGTCCAGGGAAGAGATCTTCTTTTTGTCCCATGCGTGACCAAGACTAGTAATATGAAAGTTTTTGTGGGTCAACAAAATATGAAAACACTGACGTCCATGCTGGTCGTGAAGGATGAGGATTGCATTACCTTTGGGATGTAACTAAGCAGGAATTCTGAGGACTTGGCCTTCTGGGTATCTACTTGCACGCTGTTTAGCATTGAAGATTGTAAACGTGATGTAAATTGTTCATATACATGTAGAACTAATGAAGTTGGCTTTGTTGGAGAAGGTTGACAGTCAGTCAGTTAATGATCAGATTAAGTTATCGATTGATTGCTTAAACCTTACCGCCTAGGTCCTTTTGGCTAGTTTTTCGTTTGGTATAGAACAATGTCCGAAAGCTGCCAAACGTGCTTGACCGACTGGAATCTTGCCACTGCGTAATTGACTGGAAACTGGAAACTTATTTTTTTGGCCGTAGTAGATCTACAACAATGACATCAGACTTTGTTTACAACATGCCCACATTCCTATCGGGGGCTCAGTAGATTACGTCCTACCTCACCGCCATGGGCCAGTGCACATGTAAACAAAGTACTACATCGTTATGGTGTGTTTATTGACCGGCCATCTGTATTGATTTATTGCCTTGCTTTACCTCCAATCAATTATAGAGCGATGATGAGTGCTACAAGTGTGGCGGTATCGGCCATTTTGCCCGGAACTGCCGCAGTGAGAGCAGAGGCTACCGTAAGTTGCTTCCAGTCTCACGAGGAACGTCACTTGCCCACCTGAAGCTTTTGTAGTTGACCGGAATCTGCACCTCACAGGAGAATCCACCAAAGCTCCACTCGCACATAACCTAAACACTCGCCAGCCATTTTATGCCACAACTTGATTTGTTTTTACTTGGGTGGGAGCACTGGAGGAATTCAAACTTTTACAAGCAACGAAAAAGACTCAATTGTTTCCACATCTGCATAATATTCTCTTTTCAGACATCCAAGGCATTGGAAACATACCTTCCATTCCAACTTCAAAAACGAAATCAGAGCCCAGTATTTTCTTCTGTATCAGCCCTCAATATTTTGAAGAATTTGATTCTTGCTCTTTTGTAACATCTGCACACCATACCTTCCAATCCCCTGGTGAATAAGACTTGTTTCCCTTTTTCCCCCATGCACAGGTGGAGGCTTTGGAGCTAGCTATAGCAGGTCAAGGTAAACAAAATTGGTGAACTTATTCAGTTTTCCAATAATATCTGTGCGTTCACACGTGGTTGTCTTTTTTCCCCCTGAAAGGCAGTGTTGGATGAACTTGAGTTAAGCATTCCTGACTGTTGTTATAAATCTAGCAAGGTTTCACAGTATTTCTCCTGCACTTTTTCCTCGCAGGTATCGTTCACGTTCTCGTTCCCGTGATCGCAGGTAATGTCCCATTGCCGTGGATATTTATTAGCCTGTGTTTTGTTTTTTTTTTGTTCGCGGAGGTTTTTTTTCTGCCCTATCTGAGTTCCTATCATTGAGAAATTGGCAGAGTAGGAAACCGGAGAGCGGAACACCAGCAAAGTTGATGAATCTGACAGCAGACTAAAGGGCTGTGCTTAGGGTTACCAGCCAAACAGCCAGTTTGCATGTGCAAACAGTACTGAACAAGGATCCTTTTTTATCGTAGACGACGCAGCTACCGGTCCCGAAGCCGGAGCCCCGTGCGCAGACGAAGTCGCAGCCGTGACCGCAGCCGTGATCGCAAGCGCAGAAGGTGGGTACATTTCATTAATGTTGTGGCCAAGATGCCCAGTGCAAATTTCTAGTGGCGCAGTTGAAAGAAAATCTGAAATGAGATTGCCTTTAGGCCGGTCGCTGCTTCAGGTGGAAGCACAGGAAACTTGGTCAAATGAAAAATCCACAAACACGCACTGGAATTTGAGTGTCGCCACCCAGGAGGTGTCCAAACTTTTTGAGTATGTCGTCCACTAGTGTTAATTAAAACTACATGAACCGTAACTCTATGGGTTTCACCATCCTCAGAAATACAACGGATTTGTTACCATGCTTTATATACCATTGAACCTCGTTACTGAGACCACTGTCAATACCCGTGTCTGCTTATGACAAGGCCATTTGAAGTCCCGATCTTTTGTTTCTCACTGTTTTTCATTCCTGAACATACAAGAATTAGGGTAGGAACTTTGTTTTTGAAGGGACAAGGCAATCTCTTGAGATTTGAGAAGGGCACTTGTATTAGAAATGCAACTTGTCTGCGGGGTCATTTCAATGAGCACTGAGGCAAAAGCCAGGGGGCATCGAGGCAGTTGCCTCCGATGCCTCCGTGAAGTTCCTGCCCTGAAGGTTCCTGTTAGGTTATCTGCAAAGTCCCAGGAACCCCTTCATACCAACGAGGTACACTGTCATTTGAATCTCTCTTTACAACACCATGTCAGCCGCAGCAGGGATCGCCGACGTAGCCGTAGCCGCAGCCACCACAAGAGGACCCCGAGTCGTAGCCGCAGCAGAAGCCATTCCCCTCGGTAAGGACCCAAAACTTGAATGTCTTTTTCTTAGAGAAAACAACGTCAGCTCATTGGGCTGTTACTTTTGCATGTACCTGTTCACGATCACTTCAACTGAAAGTATTATAAGCGTTAAGTGAACATCTGTTCTGGCAAAATTCCTTTTCTATATCTCATCAATCAGAATGTCTACTCTACATTTATACCTTTATTTACTGGTTGTCACGTGGATGCACTGGCTGATTAATTACAGAATAAGAACGGTTGCATAAACGTTGCAAAATCTCAAACTTGTCAACAGGCCTGTCTCACTGTACAGCTTGTCAGGGTGGGCAGAGTTTTCAGAAATGTCACCGTTTGGCTGGTTTTCGATTTGACCTCAAATTCATTCAACATTGGCATTTGTCCCATCAACTTTTTATAGGTTGTACTGTCATTTAGTAGTACGTGTAACGTCACCTGGTGGTTCTGATTGTCGAGTGGGATTTGTAACACTTTTGAAGTTTTTCACTTTTGTACAAGTAGCCATCGGAAAAAACGACGGACGTGATATCAAAAGAGCAGGCCTTAAAACGTGAAGTCAGAGCTTACATAAACTTTGAGCCACAATTGTAGAGTGTGCAGGTTCCTTTTTTTATAATTTGCGAGACGTGCAGATTGCTAGAAAGTGAGTACGTGCACGTAAAAGATCGCCAATATTTTACTTTCTGAAGTATTAAGGTTAAGTTTATGTTGTATTGTGACATTATGTTTGTTTGCTTTTTTTCTTCGACAGGAAAAGCCGTAGTCGTAGCCCTAGCCGCAAGCGCAGCGCTAGTCCCAGACGAAGCCGCAGCCACCGGGGCAGCGCAAGCCCAAGACGCAGTCGCAGCCGCGGCAGTAGCCGGAGTCGCAGCCGCTCCCGAAGCCGCAGCCCGGAGCAGAACGGCAGCCGGGAAAGCCGCAGTGCCAGTCGCAGCGACCGAGACTAAGCCGTGGCGGCCGATCCGCGGGATCCCGTCCAGAGCAGCCCTGAAGACCTCAAATCCAATGAGCGAGTTTGGTATTCCAAGAACGCATGCGCAAAATGAAAGGCCTCCGAGGTCATTCGGGAACAGTAGCACACACACATAAGGTCTGCCTTTTCCATCCAGCCTTGTGTAGACAGGCGCGCGTTTTTCTCCCGAGTGACATTGCATTTTGAAATACCGAACTTGCCCATTACCTCAATGATAACATACGTCAGGCATAAATTTCAGATAACTTCTATCGTGTATAAGTCAACTACATGTTGAACAATGTTAGCTCCATTACTATCTTGATGCAACGCACGTCCACAGAATTACGCACATTGAGACATGGATTTCAACTGTCAAACTGACCTTTGAGGAAATTGAAAATTTAAAGTAAGAGGCGTACAGCGTTCATGTGCTGGCAATTCCTGCTCTACAGAATGCTATTTCAATCCCCTACGTCGCCTTGCAAAAGGAAAAAAAAATTGACTGCGAAGAAAAAATGTGAGTTTTGTGTATTCTTTATGTACGTACGCCCAGATGGAAACCGCTTAAAGATCTCCAAAATAACAGTGAACTTAACTCGAGTTTCTCTTGGTTAATTCCAAAACACTCCCTCCCTCTGTTACCTTGTGTAGATAAATTTCATGTCGTTTCAGCAAAGGTCAAAGGTTGCTGTCATTCCTCCGACAATACTTGTATCAAGGATTCTGCTGTTTTATTAAGATGTGGAAGTTGGGACTTTGGCGGTAAAATGACTGCACTGTTTATCATTGTTTGCTGTTTGCAGTTTTTAACTCTGCACTTTTGACTGCTTTTAAAAGTTGTAACAAAATGGATCTCTAAAAAATAACAAGGAATATTAAGTATTTCTAGCTTGGCTTGTCTGACACTTCCAGCTGCGGTGTCGAGAAAACCTTTTGTTCCAAGTTTTGTGGACAACTTGTAAAGTTAATCCGACAGTAAATTGGTTATTCCTCTGTTTCTGGTACTTAGAATTTGTGCTGTAACTTTCGTAGTTTTGTAGACATTTTTTTGTTTCTGTTTTAACCCTTCAGCCTGCTTGGCTTGGGAAAATACACCTGGGCTATTGGCTTTATGCAGGCACTAAAGAGGGTGCTCCTGTACATGTTCCTGTACTAATTAAAGGGAGGTTTGATGAGACAGCAAAATCTCTGGTTCCTAGTCTGTCATATCAGTAAAACTTTTAGGCGAAGGGAGTGGGAACTAGTATAAAAGTGGAAGCAACTTATCTCACTGGTTCCCAGCGGGAGCAAAGATACCACACACAGAAAGCAATGATCGATCACCAGGGAAGTGGCTTGATCCCTTGCCACTGAAATGTACTCCATGTACAGTGTTCATGCATTTGAAGATAGGAACTACCTCGCTCACCGGTCCCCTGTCATTACATTTCACGGATAAGTACAAAATTGAAACCAGTGGCTGTCCAAAACAACTGGTTGTGGCTGTGACTTTAAACACACATCTCTGTAGCAGATGATTCAAGCTGCAAGACTCTGGCTTCCATACATAACATGTTAGTCGCAGCGTTCAGACGCAGCCGATGTTTCCCAATCTCATTGTAGAAGTGCTTGCGTACGTATCTCAAAGCCTTAAAAATGGCCCCTCATGTCAAGCGGTTGAATTTTAAGCTTGTATTTTGTTGCTTATTAAAACTCTGTGTGTAAGTGCTTGTCTTTTAGTAAATGTGCCATAACATTAGAGGTACTACATGTAGGTTGAAGCAAATTCATTCCTTGCATATGTTCCGAGGCCCCCCATCTGTCGGATTGACCCATTGTTTGTGGTGCCCTTAACCAAACCTCCACGGGTTGGTTCCGTCAGCTTTGTCACTGTGGATGATTTTCCAGAATGGGCATCACAACGTTTATCAGGAATTTCCCATGACTGAAGAAAAGTCTTTCCTCTGTGGTTTTTTTTTACATGCTGGAAAAAAAAATTCTTAACCTCGGGTGTACTCAGATTGTGCTTATATGGACATAGAAAAACATTTCCCACACGGATACAGATATTCCAATAGTGATGGTCATCCCTGGATAATTTGTTCCGAGATGAGCCATTCGCATGAAGAGTCGGGGTCGTGTAGTTAGTTTGGAAGTTACTGAACATAGCAACTCCAGCCTCAAAATCCTAGCAATTACTTTTCAGACCAGCCAGCGGATTTTCACCATTCTGGGGAGTACAGTTTAAAAGAACGTATTTTCTATATTTCATATTCCAAAGCAATTGGGTGCACCCAGTGTTAAAAACACAGACTTGACATGTAATGTAAGGTGCCATAACATTTTGTGAATTTGTTTTAACCGTGTAGTATTACAGCTGAAGTTGTGGTGTTAGCTGTAACAAGATCAATGATATCTGGGCTGAAAACCTCTCACCCAACTTTGTAAAATATCTTTATAAGTTCCCAATGATTTTACGTGTTATTCTTTGCCCTTTGAGATTACCTAGGACTCTAAGGAGCATCACTAAAGTGAGTGTAGAAATCATGTTGTAAAAAAAGTCGTTTTTTTACTGTATGTCCCTTTGTTTCAAACTGCAATGATCTAAAGTACATTGTTTTGGTTTCTGGACTTCACAATTTCCTTGATTTTTCCTGGTAGCTTGTTTCATTTTTTTTATTTGTTATCTTTTAAATCACAAGTTTTCACATTTAATAAAGACTGCTCACAGAATCAACAGGTTTGAAAAAAGTTTGGAATTCATTTATTTTGAGCAATTTTATGGCATCAAAAATACAATTTGCAGCTCCTGGAGTTGAAAACAAAAAGAGTTAATCTTATCCTTTAAGTCCCTATTGCAATTGTAATTTTTAACCTAGGTGCTGGATTCCCGATATTTGCGTCTAACTCTCAATCTGGCAACCAGAAAAATCAGCTTGAAAAGAAAAAGATGTTAACTTCCAAACAAAAGAAGCAACTGCACTGACAGTCAAGGAGCACACACTTTTGTTCTGGTCTACTGCTTTTACTCAATAGCTCTGCAAACTGAGCTGCCTAGTCTAAGTATTAATCCTTTCTCTTCAACTCATGACAGAGAGCTGATGGGTTGGTTTTTTTTTATTAAGAATACTAATATTCAGGAATAGCTATTGCCGCATTTCCACTGAAAAGAAAAGTAACAGTGAACAGTCTGTAGAAAGACAAAGACATCGATGCAAAGTGTATCTTGCCCCTAACCAAATAAGAAAATCCTTTTTAACAAACGCACTTTGTAAATTTCTTTCCCCTGACCCACGAAATCGGTCTCTATTATTGGCTCTTCAGAAAGGTAGCCCTAACAAACCCCCTGACCACCACTGCCCCAATCAACATTCAAATTCTTTTAGTACTGTGGTTTGGAAGTCTTTGTGTTCACACATCCAAGAACACAATTTTGGCCCTTCTTTTACAACTACTTCCAATCAAATACTTGGGATTTAACCTTCTTTCTTTCCAAGCAGCTGTGAATAAAATACCAAGTAAGCAACACTCACCCCATTGCACAGAACTAAAATAGACAACACTACATTTCACTGTCAATGGAAATGCCACACCATTATGGAGACACTGTGCTAATACTGCCCATGTTTGTGGCAAAGTGTAAATACAAAATTAGTCCTTGGCAAAAATACCTGTCTGGATACAAAAACAAGAACCATGCAATAGGTGGAATGTCTGGAGTATTCATTCTAGTTATACAATTAAAGTATTCTCTCTGTGTTGCTTTTTTAGCAACGGCACTGCCGACAATATTTGCCAAAGTTGATGAAGCAATGAGCTTGCTGCAGAATTTGATTTTGAGAACCAGCTTGATTGAAATTCACACCATTTGTCTTTGACTTTCTTTCTGAACACAAATTGCACAGAGCACTTTTAACCGAAGAGGTAACAGCAGCAAAGGGCAAAGTTTGAGCGATGACTATAGTTCCGACTAACACCGCCCGAACGATGAATGGTTTGGAGTGTCTAGTTGACTACATGTACTTGGGACCGGGCCCAGGGCATGGTCACACCGCTTGTTATCAATAGCTGATTTCATTTCATCACTTTGGAGGGAACCATTCATATGAAAACAATTTGTACGAAATTTCAATGACCATGTACGTTGTAAGAATCGAAGCCAATGGTGAAATGTGAATTATATATAAAAAAAAAAAAAAAAAAAAAAAAAAACAAATACATCTTGATAAAGGTGAAATGTGAGTAACAATAAGATTTTTTCAAAACTTGGCTGACTGAAAAAGCATCGCCTACTGATTGAACTGTAGTGCGCACCCGAACTTGCCCAAAAGTTTATGCAGAAATGGCTTTGCTACTCAAACAAAACAGCAGAGTCGAACTCTCAATCCAAGTTAAACATGCTGGTGGTTTATGATGCAATCTTTATCCCTTTAACCTGGTTTGCTGGCTTTTAATCCAGTTTAGCCACCTCCTCAAAGTAGGCTCCAAGGAGCTTGATCTGCGTGTAGGAAGGGAAAATCACATCACCAACAAAACAAAAAAATTTGTTAAATTTTTTTCAATTTCATCGCCCCATTTCATCAACCTGAGAGAACAGTTTTTGAATTTGCTGGTTTTTGTTACTTGTATTGACATCTGGTAGTGTACTGACATCTGGAAGGTTAATACGCCGGTGACATGTTGCACAATACTGACAGAGAGGCAAGATTTTTCAGCTGATTTCAGCTATTTTTGGTTTTGGATTTCAGCTTGTTTTCCTCATTGGCTGTGTACAAAAGTGTAGGAGATTTTCACAGTTCAGCTTCTTTGTGTCGTTTTTTTTTCAGCTGTTTCCAGCTTTTTCTCATTGGTCAATCTCATCCCCGTGTGGCTTACTAGCTACTGGGCACACTTTGCAGACTTGAGCCCATGTATGGTTCGGCAGAATTTAACGTGTCTAGTCTACCGAAAGATGTGGACAGTGCTACTTACCCCGTTGATGTAGTTGGAACGGTTCATCTTCTCGTTCTGAGAGTGCGCGCTGTCGTCGCAGGCGCCCATGGGGAGCAGCATCACGTTCTTATTGGTCGCGTTCTGGAGAGTCAGGGTCACGGGGATGCTGCCACCCTCGCGGGTCATGTCCGGCTCCATGCCAAACACTGAAGAGCAGGAAAGCATTTTAAAAAACAACTAGAGCTGAGATGTCGAGTGCTTCAAAATCATACATTGCAGGTATTAAGGGGAGTCAGGTTGGCATATTGGCTCCTTCCTGACCTCTGCGGCCCGGGTTCAAATCCCGGCCCGGTCCACATGTGGATTGGGTTTTCAGGCCCTACCTCATTCCGTAGGTTTTACCCAGAATACTCCTCTGAGGTTTCCTCCCACCTCTAAAACTAACTGCTTCTCACTGTCTCCTCTCTCAGGGGTGAGTTTGAAAGATTTTGGTCGCTCTCAATTGTTTCAGACGTCGAATCACTGCTGCACTTAATTCAAAATTTGCTTTTAATTTGGGTTGGTGGGACTCTAGAATGCCTGCCTGAAACAGGTGTAACCCTCCTCCGAACAAACAACTCTTTGTTAACGTCACAGTTTGTTTAATGACTCCATTCGAAACTGGATTGACTGAAGTCTCCTAAGGCTGTATTTGGCCTGAATGTGGGACTGTGGTCCTAGTTTGGAGACATTTACCTGTCTGGATGGCCCTGCGGCCAGCAAGGTAGTGAGGATGGTCAAAGTCGCTCAGCCAACTTTCTCCCGCGTGGCCAGACGAAATGCTGCCCAAGGGAAAAAAATCAGCTCTACTATAAGGAATCCACTGAAGCGCACTCGTTTTCAATAATCATGCACTTTTGAAATGACGCATTTTTTGGTCTGGTACATAACCTAGTGTTCTTCCCTGGCTAAACTTCTGTGGGTTACCAGGCAGATCGTGGGGCTTGCTTTGTGTCCCTAGGCAAGATATCAGACTGCAGTTACTTCCAATACCCGCAAAGCATGCCAAAAGGTGACAGAAAAAGGTTGCACTCGCTGTCACTGTGTAGAGAGTTTAAGTACATCAAGTTCTAGTCTGACGACCTCCCGCATTTGTTGGCTTGATGCAGGGGTAGTAACTGCATGCCATGAGCGCCATATTTTAGAGAACAAGTTTGAGAGTTTAAACAATCTAAGATCATTCTGACAAGATTTGTCAACTCACGGAGCCTCACACACACTACCTTCAGTGCAATGGGGTTGATTGTTGGTTGATTGACATCCAATCGTAGCTACTACAAATTCAGAACTAAAACTTCTTGCTATCGGCTCACTTTATTTTATTGGGCGAACCTCGTGCACTGTGGATGTCGGTCAGGTGCTTGATAACCAGCTCCACAATCTCGGTAGGTGACTGGCGGGGTACAAGACGGATGGAGAATTTCCCAATCACTTTGCGAGGGATCACAGTCTTGGAACCGGCTCCGTCAAAGGCCCCCTGAATTCCTAAAAAAATTTAACAAGCAGCTGTGTCTCATGCAAAGAATTCAAAGGACTTTCTCTCCCCTTGTTTAACATTCGTACAAAAAAGATAAAACTCAGCTCAACGTTTCCACAAATCAAGCAGTTGGAAAGACTGGCAAATTTGAACGTGAGGTGTTCAAATATACGAGAGTTCCGCTTGATTTTGAATCCCTTGCAAAAAATGTGTTTAAGAGCCTGTTTGCCTAAAGTACTGCTATTGAAGTCTGGCTCCTGGGCTGCAAATATTGTCCAGGGATTGGATTTTAAGACACCAACTGCTGTCAACCATGGAGAAAGGCAGACACCAAAACTGAACTAGGATCCTTTTAATTGTAAAAATCCTTCAAGAGTTCCGATGAGGAGTGCGATGTTAGCCAACGCCTTTTGCAAAACCGGTGGAAAAGTTACGAGTCTTGAGGGAGCACGTACTAGACCGGTCAGATTTTCGTCTGACCTAGAGGAGAGCAGAGAGTTGACAACCAACTTTACCGTGGATGGATAGAGACGGGTAGCGCCAGCGATGCTGTAGGAGTTTTTCTTTGGTGTCGTGAAGGAGCCGATCGGTGCCAATCTCCTGACGGTAGTCCTCCTGCAATGCAGACACGATCCGATTAATTGGGACACTCAGTCAAGGGACACTCAGTCAAGGGACACTCAGAGAGAGCATAAGCTAGTGCACATGTAGGTTTAACCTCATGACTGGCATAAGCCGTGTGCCACAAATCTATGGCGTAGCTGTGCATTATACTTTCGGTCCACGGTTCACAAAAAGGTTAGCTGCACAACGTACTAGTTATGTCAAACTTCTCTGATGAGACGATCATGGATTTTACAACAGTTGCTTCTTTTCAATAATTATCACAACAGTCATTACATTACATGTACATGTGTCTCTGCCATTTTGAAAAGGTTTTTGTCTTGTGCTTCACTGGAAACAGGAAGTAAATCTTGAAGGTTTTTCTATTACCTTTGCAAACAAGTTGTACACATATCGTCTGAGCCTTAGAAGTGGATCGATGACGAGTCTTAACCGTACATGATTAGTGAGTGAGTTTGGCTCAACTCGCACCACCTACACAGCGCTACAAAATGATTGCATGGCAACTTGTAGCACAATTTAGACTTATGCAGCATGTATTCATGAAACATGACACAGTTTGCTGAAGAAAGTAGACCTGTGTTAGCACAATGATGTCGTGCTTTAACAAACTTTCCCTGGCCAAGTGATGCGCGATCCATCCAGACAGATTAGGAAAGCCCACATGCAAACAAAGCGAGACATCATTATTTTTGGTCTATTTTCATGATAACTGAGGGTAATTGTCCAGCAATCAGATTTCCAGCCCATACCAGGTCGAAGTCGATGGGTCCATACAGGCTCTCTTCTTCCTCGGTCAGCTCAGCGACTTGGTCGTACACGCCAGGCACTTTGATCTGACCTGTGACATCCACCAGACTGTCCAACAGGGCGATCAAATCCGTCATGGCTTCGTGCCTGTCGAGTACATGGCAATGCAAAGTGAGGCCTTCATCAATGGCATTTCAATCCAGTGGACTAAATAGAAGACAAACTTAACAACAAATATTGCAGTTTATATGCTAGACAACTTTTTAAGGTGAATTTTTGAGTGAATAAGATGTTAGTTGTTTTTGATAGCCATTTTATCCTTTCCTGACATGTTTCAATAACAACTGTAAGAGTTAAATCTCATGCTGAAAGATTGGTCCAAAAATTCACTTACACAGAGCCACCGTAGACGCCAGAGTGCAGGTCCTTTTTCGCGCACTCCACTTCCAGGAAGAAATAGCAAATTCCCCTGGGAAACAGGGACAAGGAGCAAAACCTTAAGTCGTCAAAACAATTATAACGCCTACAGAATGCGAATTTTCTACCAGAATACAACGCCATGGAAAAAAAAGGCCCCCGACATTCCAACAGAACTTGCAGATAAAGAAAAGGTTACAGCAAACGTCAATAGACGGCAACGGTGTTTTTAATCCTGTTATTTGGCAGGGTCAGGCTATGTGTGACATTGAGAGCTACAGGTGTACATGTTCATGTATGTATTTTCAACATTTGCCAAATAATTGGTAACTGAGCGCATTGAAAGAGCTATGTCAAACTGAAAGGCCGGTTGATAGTTCTTCATGTGACAGTGCATGCCAAACGCTGGTCGCTAGACACCGAGATCTCTTGGGGAAGTTTGTCATCGCACCATGTTCACGCATGAAGCATTCAAAACAGGCGTACGAGGTGCAAAATCCCACAGGTAGGTGGGATGACAAACCAGTGTTGTAGTGGAGACCATGCACAAGACCAGTCACAAGTAACAGGTTGAACAATGACAAAGGAACGCTTTTGTTGCAGTTCATTTGAATAGCTTGTTACTTGCATTCTGACTAGAGGTCTTGTCTTGGTCTTGTGATGGTCTCCTGTGGTCTTGTAAAGGTCTCAAGTGGTCTCGACTACAAAACTGTGACAACCACACGTGCGCTGCCCATAAGGGAAAAGATGGGCCAGCGAGCATGTCAAGGTCCAACCAATTAACTCTATGGTGGCACTGAGGTCTCCTTATGTCCACGGATCACTGAAACTTTGTGACAACTACTATGTGACCATTACGCCCCAAAATCTCCTTCATGTCCAACCGTAAACTAGCGCCGGGACGAGGATCTTACCTCAAGCCGTACGTGATACAGGGCTTTTTCTTGCCCAGCCAGTAGTTGTCGGAGATGCACACGTAATCAACGTCCTGAGAGAAACAGAAAAAAAAAATTATTGAGATTTTATGTGCTGGCATAGCGACAAGTGCTGGCATATTGCCAAGAACGGGCTTGTTGCCGAGACCTGGCATGTTGCAGAGACTTGGCATGTTGCCAAGGGGGAAATGCCTTCCTGTTTGATGGGTCTCTCAGATAGCTTGGGGGTGAAATTCCATACGAAAGTGTGCTATAGAAAATCTTGATTTAAAACCTCAAAACATGCAACTTGGTTTTACCAAAATGGACAAGCATTTAAAGCTTGAACCTTCCTCAATCCTACAAATCCTCCTCTGCGCAGGAAACCAATGGCACATTAATTCTTTGTACTTCAACCTACAGGGGGCATCAAGCCCCATGTAAAGTAACAGTGGCTGGGCTCTACCTTCCTCAATCCTACAAAATTCTTTGGTGAATTTTGAAGGCTCTTGGAAAGTAAACCATTTTGCTCATAGCTCTCAAAATCAAAAAGCATGCTGGGTACAATTGGCCAATCTGATGAACTGTCATCCAATCGCTTCGCACCACTGGTCAATCCAAGGGAATGTTAAACTTTTGAAACTTTTCCACAACCGTAAATTAGCAAGGAAAGGCGATTGGCCGATAGTGGCATTATCGACATATCCAATCGACCGCTCAAGCAAAGATCGAGCAACTGCACATACAGATTGCACCATACTGTGTCTGTAAGGACAAAGGTCAATTTTACAATGAAATGCTCCATAAAAACACCTACTTTGAAGAATGTGTCCTTGCGACTCTCAATCAATTCATCAAGGCCCTCAGAGCCGGATTCTTCCATTCCCTCAAAGCAGAACTGCACAGAAAATGGGAGTAAGGGTAGTGTCAGGCTAGGTTAAGATTAATTACTTCAGCAGGACTCGAACACAAGACCTCCAAAATTCTGGTTGAGTGTTCAATCAACTGAGCTACTCGGCCTTTTATGTTGTGTCTCAAAATTTGCCATAGTGTTGGTTACCTCTCCATAAACTACTGGCCTTAATTGGGCAAGGCCAGAAGATAACAGTCAGGGTTTTGCATTTCAGTGGTCCAGGGTTCGAATCCCCCAAGTGAGTGGACTTACCTTGATGTTGATGGGGATGTCTTGTTTCAGGGCACGGTATGCCTCAATGACGTTCAGCCATGCCAAGACCGGCCCTTTGTCATCTGTGGAGCCACGCCCGTACATCTTACCGTCTTTCTCAGTCAGAACGAAGGGGTCCGTGTCCCAACCATCCTCCTGGAAAATAGACAGAGAAAGATGACACAATAACCTCTAAAGAGATATTTTGACAGGGGTTACGAGTCCCCTGAAATCTTCCAATGTGCAGAAAACCAACGGCATAATCACTGTAAGATATTAGTAAAATAACAGTGGTTGGGCTCTACCACACTGAAGTCCACAATCCTACAAAATCCTCCCAAACTGCCTCAGTGGTAGATTTTGAAGGATGTGGTTCTTAGGAAATTGAACAGAAGATTCACAACAAAAACTGCATTTGCTGCGACTGAGGCACCAATTTGTCAGTGAGACTGAAGTAGTTCTTTAGCTCTGACCCGTTTGGCCGGCTGCACGTCCAGGTGACCGTAGATGCAGACTGTCTTCTTCTTGGGGTCGTCGCCAAGGTGACCCATGAGGATGGGCGGCAACGGGATGACTCGACCGTCCTCCAATTTCTGTGTACCAATGTCTACGAGCTCAATCGTTGCTCCAACCTCGGGCTTTTGCAGGTCCTACAAGAAAACAAAAGCAAAGGGCCTTGTGTTCTTCTAGGTTTGAAGGGTAGGCTACCCAGTATTGTCATAAATTGGTATCCGGTTCCAAAAGTATACCCCTCAGTCTACCCACAAAGACATGGTTCTCTCAAGGGCACCTGCACAAAGCAAATCAAAAATAGCCCCTCTAATCCCTAATCCCTCCTCTGTGTATGTGACAAAAAGAAAGAATCCCAGTTTCTGTGCATTAGATAGGCCAAATAATAAAAACATTGTGTTTTTCCTGTAGATTTTAATGAAGGCAGCAGCTTTCTTTTTTTTTTGTTTTGTTAACCACAGCAGATTGTCTGCAGATAACAATGGAATTTTTGGACTTTTCCAGTGATGGTCTTCTGTCTAGTATAAGGTATTTTAACCTCGAATCAGGTTTTTAACTTGTTTTTAGTTACGGATGTATAACGTTTAAAAAGAGGTGCAGAGTCTATAGCGTCACAAATATGACAAGACAAAAACGAGAAAAACTGAGGCGGGCAGAGCAACAGGAAGCAACAGGGATGGGAACATTTTTTTTAAAAATTTACCCAGCCTTACCCGTGCTACAACTTCCAGCATGCGTTTGATTTCCTCTCGTTTCTCCGGCCAGGCCGAGACGCTCTGTATGGCAACCGCATCGGCGAGCCTCTTAACGTAGTCATCCTGATGCTCGTCAATGTAACTAAAGAACACATTTCAACAACAAAACTTTGCTCTGAGGTTTAAACAACATCCAAGCTCTGACATAAACCTTTCTTGAATTATCCTTTTTCAAATCTGTCACCTACATGGAATCTTTTTCAGGCCTCTGCAGCTTGGTTTTTCATGTGACATCCATAAATTTGCCAGCAGAGTAATTATGCATTTGAACAGGCCTGCCTTATTAAAAGAAAGGCCCAAAAACCTTCAGAGCTTTTGGTATTGAGGATATTCATGAAGGAAAGAGTTCCACATACCGACCCCACTTGACACCCCATGTACAAACCCTACTGGTCTGAAAAATAATAAGTGGCATATTCCCTCGCTAAATTGAACTTTTCTGGGCATGTTTTTCTTTCTGATGGCTAACAGGTCACTGTAGGGAATGACTACTGGCATCTGTACATGGAACTCTTCCCCTAACAAACAAATGGACAAAGAAGTTCAGAAGTATTCAAATCTAAACAGTCCACAGATTAACAACTTATCTGGCAACGGGGAGTAAACTGTGGTAAGTTTGCCTCACAAAGCCATTTTTCATGACCCAATCAGTAAAAGTTTCTGATCTAGCTGTTAACAATGATATGCATGAAGCCCAACCAATCACAAGGGAACATGTCGCAACCCATCAAACTCAACACTTATTTTGCCAGCGTATAACCACACCCACCTACCATGCCCGAAGTAGCATCGATGACCGTACATACATGTAGTCCCCGATCCATTAATTAATATTGCCTTAGGGGCCTACTGTAAAAATCAATCAAACTTGACAACAGGCGACAGGTGGCAAAACTAAGGACCTGTTGAGTATACGGTCACCAACGTTAGATTTATTGAAACCTATCTGCCATTTTTCTCCCAGACTGTGGTAGGCTGACTACAGTACGTGTACTATGGGTTATCTGCTTGAGTTGATGTCAGTCGTCACGAAAGTTTATGATGAGGGACATGATGATGGAGGGGTGTGTCTGAATAATATCCGGGATTTTTAATTTGTACACTCGCCCTTTTTTTTGGCTACATGTATTTTAATCTTGCAAAACTGGTCAGCCCCCCCGCCATCAAAAGGCAACACTCTCTTAATTCATCGAGTTGACCCTTGGAAAAGTAAAATTGTAAAATGTGAGAAAATGTGACTTTCTTACTGAACTAGCCATGCAAATTTGAACCCAGCGTGTGTTATGTGTTAATTAACCAATGCCCACTGTTTCCCCTCATTTCCTATACCAGGCAAGATATGGGACCGAGGGGTACCCCCTTACCTGTCCAATCCCTATACACACTCTAGACTATTGTTACCTAACACATCCCCCCCTACAAGTAGAAGTCTGTGAAGACTTCCTGAGATTCCGATCAAACAATGAGCAACACAAAGGCGGGGGGACTCTCTCCATCTCATATCTTGCTTTAAATGTCATTTCCCTCAAAACTCCACACAATGCCAGTTTTGACAACATCAACCCATGGAGAAATATCAACCCTACACTGAGCTACCCTCAGAACTGAGGCTAGGCCACATGGAGCATGATGTCACAGTAAATCTACCCAGTACCAAGGTGAATTCAAAGTTAAAATGTAGCTCTCCCTTCTATTATCGGGACGGGGTTCCCAAATCTACAATCCCCAAGCCTGTTTGATATTGCTCCATGGTCCAACTCCGAGTGAATCGAGAGCCCCCCCCCTCCTGATAGCTGAGCCCAGCATATATTGGCCCAGCAAGCGCCGTTTCTTTGACGACGAGACTCTGGAATTTCCCAATTCAGTAGGTCCAAATACTTGCTAATGTAACTTTACCTGAATAACTTAGGAAGAAATACTTCAGCCATGTTTGCAGATTAGTCCCTTAATATTAATTCAGCCTTGTTCTCGCCGTCTTGCTCTTCCTAGTGGCGCAGTTGGTTGGCGCATGTGGTTGGTAATGAGTTGATGACTATTATCGATGTATCCGATATCGAGATATTCGATGCTAACGTGTATGGTGTACTATTTACGACAAACATTTCTCTCTCTCTCTTTAGCCTCCATCCAGGCGACGCAACTACACGACGCGACGGTACAACGGCTCCCTTGCGTCGATGCGTCGCCTGGAGAGAGGCTAAAGACAGAGAGAAATGTTTGTCGTAAATAGTACACCATATGATGCATTGTACGTAAATCTATTTTGCCAAATGAAACATGCATTCAATTTAGTATCGATACTGATATGCTAGTCCGAGATACGACTGTTTGTATGGTATCTTTCGATTCAGACCACATAGATAGCACGTGACTTTCCAGACTGGACCCTGTCGGTGTCTTTCTTGTGTATAATTTATATTGTTCCCACCCCCAACGTTTGATGCAACCAGGCTCAGCCTGAAAATGATGGGGGAATTGTTTTGGCTGTTATCAAGGGGGTACTTTCGGGAGGCGTTCCCATGCCCCTAAATGAGTTTTTTCTCTTGAAGATTATCCCCAATAATATTAATTAATAGGTTGCGGTTTTCTGGTGTCCGTGCCTTGGAAGGACGTTCTTTATTACATAATTTACCTACCCTATGATAACAGAGCTCTCGCTCTCCTGTAGAATTTGTCATTATCAACATAATTCTTCTGATTTGGAATAGATAACAATGGCTCATCACTTGATTCCTTTAACTGATATCTACTCTAATGTGCTTAAACTTAAAAATATATACATGTCTATATACATGTACATAATAGAGCTAGGAAAAAGTGGAAGCGAGAGTTAATCCCCGCCCGGGGCTAGCTAGCTAGCTAGAGGGCGCTCTAATTATTTTGCCGGACACGAGGGGTGTTGTTTGAAAGGCTGCATCAAGTTCTGGTGCAGATCGGGGTTTGAATTGATTGGCTGTCACGCTACAAAGTACGGGTCAATTTAATCTGTACCAGTTACAGACATTGGTAGTAATTAAGCCGATTATTGCATTTTAGAGGGAACAAATTACTTGATTCGTCCCTCCACGTTTCCAAACGGCCGAAACGGGAAACCCCCAACTTTTCCAACCGCGTTTACGTTAATGGGGAATCCCCTTCCAACTTGCTCACGTGTTCAGCATTGACCTGTGTGGTGAGCACGTGAGCTGAAATTTGGAGGGAGGCGCACATACATGTAACTACAAGTACAAACATGGCCGATGATTTTCTTCCTCAGCTCTTCAGGTAAAGTGTCTGGCATGCTGAGTTAAACGTTTATAGGCCTGTCATCATGGTCGTGTCCAGTGCTGTGTGTCACTCGTCATGCTCGTACCATGCTCGCACGTTCCTACCTCCACCGCCGGCGGTCGACATGGTCGATCACGTCATGGAGGAAGGAGGCCGGGGGAAGGAGTTCGAGTCCCGTCCTTCCTCCATGATCACATGCAATAAGCCTTATTATTGCAAATACTGCACGGGTGATTTAGCACTATGGTAGAAAGGCATCGTGGGATGGAAATGGGCTTATTTGAGGGGTTCTCTGGCATGTTTGTTGGGCTGGGAGCCGGAGAGTGTTCGTGTAGACATGGGGGTATGGTTTACAGTGGTGTAGGGGTGCACCA